TTATATAAATTTGAAAAACTCTGACTGTTTTCTGTCAAATATAGTATAAGGATTAGAATGTTTAATTAATTAATTTTCTAGCAGATTACAAATATAGCAGCTAGTATAAAACTTGCAAGTGAATTACTTAAATAGATAGCTAAAAGCTGTATATATGGCTAGTTGCATACTTACTTTGTACAAGTTATGTAAGCATAATAAAATTACAATAAAGACAATAGCTGCCAATAATCATAGCCTTAGCAAAAGCAAAAAAAAAATATATAGTTTTTTGAAGTTTTTTAATATTTTATATAATAGTAAATTGTTAAATTTTATATTTTTAAATATAATATTAAAAATGAACAGATTATAAAATTTTTGGCAAGTTATTTTATAAAAATATTTAAAATTTAAGTAAAACAATTCAAATTTATACAAATTCTGATTAGAAAGTTATTAATATTCATAATTAAATAAATCTAAGTTTAAATAAATATTTTAGTAATAATAAAGTTATTGATAACTGATAAATTTTTTTTTATTTGTATAATATCAAGTAAAAAAAAATAAAAATACAATTATATATCAATTGAATATAGATGTATAACTAAAATATTATTTCTAAACTACACTATTGTTGTTATATACTACATCATCTAGTGTGATATTATCCTTTAGTTTCCTGTTTTTTAGTTGAGTTAATTGACATGAACTTAACTACAGAAAATGTAAAAGGAACTCTTAAAATTATTTAATTAATAAAAACAGGTATGTATAGTGAGGTTTTGAGTAAGAGTTTTAGAAATAAAGAGATTTATATCAGTGTTGAAAGTGAAAGTAATATTGTTAAAATTTGTAAATTGAGAAGTAGGTAATCTAATATTGTTTTTTTTTTTAGTAGAGGATGTAATTTCTCATAATAATTCCTATTCATGTTGTTTAGTATTATGGGTTTGCCAGATAGTAGAGTTAAACCAAGTAAGTAATGAATTAGATAAAGAAATAATTAAATTGTTAGTTTTTTTAGAGTGAGTTGAAGTTGGTTGTATTGATTAAGGGTATTGTACCCTGAATGAGTAATAATATTGTATTATATATATTTAGGTTGAAAGAAGTGTTTTGTGTAGTAAGAATTTGTATTATTGCATTGGGTGAGGTTTTTATAATGCTTAGAGAGTTTAAAGCATTAGTGATTTCATTAGTGAGAGTGTTTTGTGAATTGTAGAAATAAAGTGAGCATTGGAATAAGTGTTCAGTGCTTTTATATTGATTGCAATATGAGCAATTTGGAGTTAAATAAAGAAGAGAATAGTGGATATAAAAATTTGACATTGTAGATAAATTGTTAAGAAGTATTTTGTTTCTAATAGAATATAGTTTGAGATTGGAGTTTTGGAAATTAATAATTTTAGTTAATAATAGAATATTTATAGTTGAAAGGTTTCATAGTAGTTTGAGTTGAAGAAATTTGTTAAATGTTTGTATTGAAATTAGGGTTTTACAGAATTTACATAATTTTATGTGATTGGAATTTCTTTTCAAAAAAAATAAGTAAGTAGATAAAAGTAATCAAGATTAAATTTTAATTTAGTCTTATTGGCACCTTGTTTGGCAAAAGAATCAGTTATATTGTATAAAATATTTTTTGAATATGATTTAACTTTGTATGTAATGTAATTGATGTTTTTGAGTTTTATTAAATAATTGAGTATATGTATAATATCCCAATTATTTTGTTTAGTTTGTGATTTGTAATAGTAGAATAGTGTATTAAAAAGTGTTTGAATAGTAGATAAACTGTCTAAGTGAATATAAATTTGATAATTGGCCAGTAAGATAAGAAATAAAGAAATGAGTACTGCTAATTTCGCTCATATTGAGTTTGGTGCATAAGTTATAGAAGCATTAAATTTGATTTGTGTATTCTTATCAAGGATCCAAGCAATGTCTATTGAGATGTTTTTTGTTTGTGAATTTAGTATAGAGGCATCTGTATAGAAGTTTGGATTGGTTGGTTCTAGCAATAGGATTTTTTTATGAAGATTAATAAGTTAGTTTTGGTAGATAAAATTGGGTATTGTGTTTTGTATTAAAAGAATTTTTGAGAAAAGTATTGAGAAAGAGGATAAAGATTAGAGAACTGGTTTGTAGAGCTCTAAGTAAATATGTTGAAGTGCTTGAATTTCTTGGTTGTTGATGTTAAGCTCAAAGTGTTGTTGTTTTTTTTGTGTTTTGCATTTTAGATTAATAGTATTTTTGTAATTGATTTGAATTATTGTCGATGTAAGAGAAATGCAAATTGTGTTGGATATTGAATTAATAATTTGGTAGTTTTAAAAGAGTAGTAATGAGTTGGATTTGTTTGTTATTTTGTCTATGTGCCAGTTTAAAGATAAGGTGTGAATTGTCCATATATTTTTGATGTTATTGAATTGAGATGTAATTAGATTAAGTGTATTTAGAAATGGATTTATTGGTAAAAATTGAATGTTGGGCCATATGCATATTATAGGAAAGGTTGATATTTGGTAACTAATAAATTAATTTTTCAAAATTATTAAGAAAAATAAAATAAAAAATAAAAAGCAAAAAGGTGTAATTACTTAGTAAAATAGAAAGTTGTTAATCTCCAAGTAATAGGTTGTAAGTTCAAAACTCATAGACAGTAAAAATTTAGATAATTACCTATATAATATTCATATTATAATAACTGTTTCTAATAATTAGATTAAGATACCTGTAATTATAATTATATTAGCATAACTGGCATAATCTTGAAGCACATATTAATAACAAACACTACACATGGCCAAACAATACTAGTCAGCACTGTATTAACTACATTTGGACTAATTCATTCAATATACAGTTCTTTCTTTCATATAGACATAATGCCAGTTCACAGGGCATTTATGTAACTAGTTATGTAAAAGAATGCAAACTGGTATCAAGTGATACAAATTCAAAATAAGTTCTTGTAGTTGTGTAAATTCATAGAAATTAGGAAACAAGAAGCCTATTTGGAAAAACCTAAATAGAAAAGTAATACAGTTCTTCAATAGTACTATTGTAAAGATTAGATCTAAGAAACAGATATTAATGTAAAGTATCTATATAGGCAAAAACCTTTGGATAAGAGGTATTACCAACTAGGCCACCAGAATTTTAACTAAAAGAACTAGAAAAAAAAGATATTAGGCTGATCTAATATACAAATAGACTAGTTATAGCCTTACTAGGCTATCTGAATTAGAAGTTTAAGAAAAAACTAATAGTATACTAAAAGTACTAGAGATATGCTATAAAGTAAGTATTAGGATTTGAGTAAACTCTACAAAGCCAAGTCTAGTTAATATTTTATAGAGTAGATAGATAGTTAACAAAGAGGCTTTCTAAGCTCCACAGTCAGATAATGTGCTTTGAAATTAGGTAACAGCTTGATAGATATACAAAAGGGAGGCAAAATGTTGAATTAGATAACATTTAGATGTACAGAAACTGAGGTAACTAATTGTCTAAGTACAATATAGAAACTAGAGTATTTAATTAAATAGTCTTCTAGTAGATTATAGATATAGCAGCTAGTGTAGAACTCTTGGGTAGACTACTTAAATAGGTAACCAAAAGTTACATATATAGCTAGTTGTATGCTCATTTTGTACAAGTAATATATAATGTATAAACTTAAAACACAAATAAGAGCATTAGCTACTGTTAACATCAGTCTTAATAAATAAATAAAAAATAAAAAACAACTATTAAATCTTCTTTTATCAAGATTTTAAACTTTATTTAAAGAAATTAAACTTTAATTTTATATAACTAATAATTATTATTAATATAAAAATGCTTTATTAAATTTTATTTAAAAAAAAATTTTTTACTAAAATGTATTTATAGTGTTTTATATCTATATATTGTTACTAGCAAATTATTCAGTTTATATATATACAAATAACAAAAAAAATAATGATTTGTTACTAGAAAATAAAATATGTTATATAATGTTTCTCAAACTTCTAGAGAAAAATAATTTGGCACTGATCTAAAATAATAATTAAAGAATGTTACAAAGAGGATTTGGATAGAATAAGAGAATAAGTTCTAAAAGAACATTTTACTTTATAATTTTGGGTCTTTTATTATTTCTTTGAAGAAGAAATTAAAGAATTTTTATTTATATTTTATTGTTTTTATTTGATAGAAAAGAGCATGCCATTACAAGAAAAAATTTTATAGCCTATTTATAACAATTTGTTAAGAGTTTTTTTTTAATTTTTTCTTATAATTTTTGCACTATTTTCTTATAGAACCTAACCTATTTTATTTTTTTGATTTAATGCTTTATTTCTTACTTTTATATCTTTATTTTTTGCTCATTTAATAGTTTCTTTTATCTTTAACTAACAATTTTAACAATTTAATTAATTGAAGATACACCATTACAGCTACAAGTTTTATTTAATAAGGCAATATTAACTTATTAATTTATTTAGCCTTTATTTTCATTAATCAGGTTAATACAGATTGCTTTACTATTTTGGATCTGTTAACAATAATTGTTTTGAAAGCTTAGTAATTATGATTATAATATCATGTAGCATTGATTTAGTGTTTTACTATTCAATCATTTTAGGCAGTTTTTTGAAACTAAGAAGATACAAGTTTGTTGTTAACAATATGTATTTATTTTAAAAACTGACTAATTAATTAGTATAAAATGTTTTAAATAAACATGTTTTTTATGACTCTAAAATCTTTTTTTTAACTCTAATACTAACTTTAAAACTAATTCCAAGATGAAAAAATTTATATTAAAAATTTTTATAACAAACTTATAAAAACTTAGAAACAGAACAAAAATATATAATAGATGCAAAGTACTATACATATATTTTATAATAATTGTAAAACTTAAACTTAATTATTTATATAAACTAAAAATTACTATTTTGTATAACAAAAAATAAAACTTAATTTTTAATAAAGTTTGATATAATAGTAAATTAAAGTACTTTCTAAAACTCAAACTAATATTTAATTTACCAAAACTTTAGTTTATTTTTAGAGTGTTTTTAATAATTTTATTATTATTATCTTTTATTACTGTACAGACGTGTAACTTTAAAAAACTTTAATCTTTTTTTATGTTTATATATGAATTATATACAACATATTTTATAAGTATATTGATAATTTAACAAACTATAATTATATAAAATATTCAAAAGTGGCAAATATTCAAGAACAAAAGTAAAAAAAACTGTTTAAGAATAAGTAAAAATATTCAAAACCAAATAAATATATTCAAAAGTGATAAAAATATTCAAAACTAAACAAGCATATTTAAGGTTAAGTAAAAATATTTAAACATGAAAAAAATTTTCTAATATAAACAAAAATTTTTATTTAATAAAAAAAATTAGAAGTATGTATAACATATAAGAAATTATTTATTTCTAATAATTTTTGAGATCAATATTACGCAAATATTTATATAGGATAGTAGTTTAAAACTAGAATTTTCAAGTATAAAGTAAACTTAAAAAAAATAAACAAACCATCTAATACTTTACTAATCAAAGTAGATTTATTAAAAGTTTAAATACTGTCTATTGTATAGTAAGAAGTATTAAAAATATAATATATTGCTTAATTTATAAAGTTCAATATTTAAATAAATAACATGTTTATTTTATTATAACTTTGTAAATTATTTTTAAAAGTTGTATATTCTCTAAAAGATATTTAATTTAATATAAGTCACTTTATATGTATGATAGTATAGTTTTGTCAATTATGTTAAAGTTTTAATAATATCATTAAAGAACATGTAACTTTTTATTAAAAACGTTCTAATAAAGTTTTTTATACTTGTAAATTGTTATTATAAGTTGGATGAAAGGTTTTATTCTTTTAAAATGTGACTTATTTTACTTCAAAGTTAAATTATAGAAGAAATATAATATACAAGTTACGTTTGTTAATTAGCTGTGTAGTTCAATGATTATCTATATGTTGATATTATGTACTAACACTGATTGATTGACTGCCACATGAAAAATCCTGTGCTTTTCTGAACATTTCGGTCTTGCATATGTATTTCATGTCTAATTATATAATAATTAAAGTATCTATTATTTTTATTAATAATATAGCACCGATCACCCGGTCGGCTAAGCCGCTCTGACCGGTCATTATCGGTTACGGTTAATGACCGTGGCTAAACGGTTATGACAGTAACCGGACCCATCCCTACCTTCGAGAAAGTACGTTCCAGAACAGCATGGTTTGGACATAATGAGTAATCTACGAGGTCTGGATCGCATTACAATAGGCGCCACAAAGTAAAACTGAAAGTATACATCCAGTTGAAATCACTAAACATGAATAATATCATCCATTCTACAGTATACATAACAACGGATGCATACTTTCGAAGCTTAACATTAACTCCTCTCATTTTCCATTATTCATTTTCTATTGACTAAAAACAACATATATACCCTTTGTTCACTAACGAATCGATAGTATCTTCAGGCCACTAAATAAATAAATAAAATTAATAAATAAATAAAAAGTTTAATAAATTAAAAATGTAAAATAGAACAAATTATATAATTAAAACTTACAGTACTGTCACCATAATCCACATCTTGCAGAGTTGAATCTGCAGAACTAAAGTAGTACCATCATAAACGTTAACGTCAACCTTTTTTCAGTGGTCTGGAGATAGTTGCCAAGTTCACATAATAATATAATTGCATAGGAACACTCGCGATGGATTGTTACAGATATTAATCCATATTTTTTTTGAACACTTGAGTGAACGCATGGCATAAAGCATTTTAGTATCTACAAATCAATAAAATAATATCCTCAGACAATGACGGATTTTTCGATATGCCACATTCACCAAATTTAGGGATAATAAATACAATTAAACAATAGTAACCAATTTAGAAGTATCACACTCGCTTTCAGTTCATTCGCCAAATTCATCAAGGACACCTATTATCCCTTCTATAACAGGTGCTGTGTATTATTGAATCTATTTTGCATAAATGTCGACCAGATACGTTTATTCAAAAACGTTATACTGTAGTGCCAATCATGAATTCTCCATTTGTTGAAAAGAGGAGAGTAATCATTGAATAAATAACCTTTTCAATTGGCAAAATACTTTGAATTACAGTATTTTCAGATTTTCATTACCAAATTTCTTTAAAAATTTATTTATTCTCGCAGTTTCTTAAATGGATCGTTGAAAAAAGTTAATGAACAATGCTGTCCTGTCTCTATTGTGCCCACAAGCATGATTTTATGGATACATTTTAACAATAACACGCTCGTCTCCACACAGTATTCTTTAGATGAAATAAGGTTCTCAAATGTCTCGATAAGTATGTTGATCCCTCGAATTTGACGAAGTCGAACACTGAGAGTTGAATTATTATCATATGTAGACGAGCGGCATTTATTATAAATGTCACTCTGACTTCCAGTTAAAATTTGTGTCGTCATGGTTTTCGCAGGAGTGACGCTATGGTTTCGCAGAAGTTGGTTCCAGCTGTTCCGATGGTTCAATAGTTGAAATTTTGTAAAGTTTAATAAAGATAAAAGGAAGGTATTAAACTCTAACCAAATTGCAAAGGCGAATATGACTCCAAAATATGACTTCTGTCGTGAACCAAAATATAATTATAAAAAACTTCTTTGACGTTTTAGAAGTGACTTAAACATAATTATGTTACTCTGCGATAATCTACAATCATTTTCTAATATTGAAGTACTTGTTTTCATCGAAATGTTTGAGTATTTTGAAAATCTTCTAGACGAAAAACTCGATTTTGATAATATTAATTTACTTCCCAAGCATTGACCAAATCTTTTGTGAGTATAAATTGCATCGTATCCTTACGAGAAGATTTGTTGAAATCCTTAAGCTTTTGCAAAATAGCCTCAATTGACGTAGTAAAGTAATTATATTTCTGAAATACTTCCATCTCAAGAGTCTTAGTCATTCCCTCCAGTGATGTCTGCACAATTTTTTACTTCGCTCTCTCATGTAACATGAGGATAAGTACACCAGCAAATAACGGTGTGTTAATTTTGAATATTCATCATCTTTGAAATTTACCAAAATGTCAACGAACGATTCATTCAAGCCTATTAATAAGAATGGATCGAAAAATGTTTCAAAAAAGGCCGGTTTAATCATGGCATCATTAGCTGAGTTGATCTACATGTTCAAAGTTTTGTTTTCATACACTCTAATCCATTACGAACTCTTAACTTGGCCCAATTTTTAAATTCGTAAAAGAACTTATCTATATTAGCTTAAAAAATCTTTGTATACCCTCTAAATATCTGACAAAATGCAAGAATAAAAAACGGGTCAACACTGTTTGAAGACATTATAAATATGAAGTTAGGTTACCTATTGTCGTGTTCTCTTTGTTCGGAATGAATACTTTAATATATAAGAAACATTGTCCTAATTCATCTTCAATTATCTGATAAAATTGTTTAGTTAAAGAATCTTTTTTTTCTGATAGTGCAAATAACGGTATCATTTCAATTGTATTTGGACAGCTTAAGTGCAAAATAAATGGCGCGTAGGGTTTTCTTCATGACATCTAATAACATATTTCCGTGCTTTGAAGAGGAATATAACTGGTCGAGTGAATAGTCGTTTTTACGTTGTAAAGATTAACATGATCCCTTACCGTTACGTAATTATTGTTGATCTTTATTTAGTGTAACGTGATACGATCAAATCATCTAATACAGTAGACAGTTTTCCTTGAGCAATATAGACACTAATACTAACATAAACGTACGTCATCACATGGGGTGGCTGTCACTCAACTACCCCAAGAACACCCCAAAAATCAGCCAATCATATTTCAAGATCACATGTGACGTGAATAGCGCAAAAACAATCGAATAAACGAAAGATTTAAAGCAATAAAACCTTACCGTTAGGGTTAGGGAATCAGGTTTAATAACAAGGGTTATACCAAAATTCGACGAGGAATTTTTTATATTAGAATACGAAAGGCGTTTTCATAGACAAGATTTTGAGTGCATACTTTCCACCTTTCACCTGTTCTTGCGATCTGATCGGCTGCGCAGTAGTTCTGTCACTCCGCATAATTAACGTAATAACACAACAGACCAAATTTGTCTGATTGGCCGATGTCGATGTAAATCAACCTAGACGAATATTGACCTTTAAAAATTTACTTCATAAAAAATGTATACAAGTCTACAAATTTATTATTGTCTTGTGACAAAATCAACATTTTTTTGTTTAATTTTTTTTTAGTAATATTATTATAGATTTTAATAGGCTCGCTCTTTTCAGACTGTAGCTCTTACATCTTTTAACACTAGTTCAAAAATATATATCAGGTATTTTGCTTCATGATGAATGATCTTTCAATTTTTTTTATATTTAAATAAGTAAAGACTATTTAATTGATTTATTTATTTTATTATATATATAGCTTGTTAATTCTAAACGTTATTTATTCATCAAATTGTAACATTAAGTAATGCAAATAGCTTACAGTGGCGGGCTATAAAAATAACAAAGTTTGAAGTTTATAAACATTTTGAAAGGTTCAATTTTATTGAATGGTTGGCAAGAATTTTGACTGGCTAAAATTAAAGATTATTCTTTATACGTTATTGCTATTACTTTTTCAATAACACGATATAGTGTAAAATAAGTCGATAATTTTAATTTTGCACATTTTATGTCTAATGTATTTGATATTAGAAAAAAAAACCAATTTCAAAAATCAAAAAAATATAATGTACTAACTTGTATTATAAATTAGTATTAACAGAATTACTTACAAACACGTTAATAATAGAACAACCATATTTGAACGGTTATAGAATACGAATATGAAAATTAAGTGTTTTAAGCACATTTTGTCAAATTTTAAGTCATACTAATAATTTAAAAGAACTTTTTTCTATTTTGGGTTAAACTCTTTATCATAAGTAATATAAAAAAATTTATGTAATTATATTTTTCAATAGGAATAAACAACTAATTATAATAAACTTGTATTATATATAAAATGTTAGTTTTATGATAGTCAAAACTGAATATAAGTTCTTTTTTAAATTTTTTTTTTGGCTTGATAATCTTTAGATAATATATCTGTTTACATTTATGTGTTAAACTACCAGTTAATAAGTATTTATTAAACGACATGCAGATGTTATCACTAATAGAATTTTTATTTAATTATTTCTCTGTTCTTCACTTATGTCCAGTTTGAAAGTATTTATAAAAACGCAATACACAATCATTATTATAGTTATTAATATCATTGTTATTATTATTGTTATTGTTATTATTATTACCTAATTAAGTTATATGATCGGACATAGTTTTGGACCAGAGATGTATAAGCTAAACATCTCTAGCTAGAGATGCTTAGAAGTTTCTATTTTTATCATTATTATTATTAAGAGTAAGCATTCATAAACGCTGTACGTATCCTATTTTCAATAGAAGGTTTACTAAAAATTACTTTTCTGCTACTATAAATATAATCACATACGTACGTACGCACGCACGTATTTACTCTTTTAAAACCCTCCAATTGTCTTGTACTACATAATTACATATAAGTGATACCAAGACTTAGGGCTTTAGTTTATTATTTATTATTTACTGGACTCAGCCCTCTAATCAACGACAAATATAACACATAGCGCTGCCAAGATTTCGGCTTTTAAATATATATGTAATCGATCGGATTTTCAAGGGCTAAATCTGGTTAATGATTAATTAATTAAAACTTAGAAGCCAAAGTCTCATTTTCCCTTTGTGACACCCATGAAATGAAAAGCACGATCTCATTGCGTAACGGTAAGGTTATTTTACCAATTTCCTATGTTCCTGTTTGACTCTTAAAAATCCTGCATTTTATAGGACATGAAGATTAAATTAGGATTTTCGAGGAATGTTATTATTACAGTATTAAGACACGAAAGATGATTCCATAATCAATATTTGATCTATAAATTTTTTTGAAAACTTTAGATTTTTTCGTAATTTTACATTAAATCAGATTTTGTAATTTTGTTATACCCAATCAAAGATAGCATTTTTACGAACTTGATGAACTCCCGGTGGCTGTGAGTGAGGCTGTCATAGGAAGCATGATGATGTCATAAGACATCTCCGAATTATCCGAATTATTGATTAAAAAACATTCCCAAATAGTACAGTATAAATGGCCTAGCCACATCAAAGGTGTTGAACTTTTGCAGATCATTATCCACAATACTGAAATAGATCTGAAATGGATTTGTTAAGATACCAATTTAATCGGAATCGGATGTTTTTAAGCTGTCACACCATATTAAATAAAATTTTAATGGCTTAGACAGATCAATTTAATTCTGTGTTTACGTTACGCCTCCTCTTTCATTCTTAATAGAAAACTTTAGAAAATATATATACTGTATGGTTATGGACTATTTTGGAAAAAATTCCATGAAAAATTTCAAATTCTACTAATGCCATCTAAATCGTTTCCAGGGGTATAACACAAAATCAAGTTTGTCTGGTTTATCATTAAGAGAATTACTTAAGAACATTTAAAACATCATTTCAAAAAAGTTTTGCAACTTTCAAGATCAAGTTTAATACATAAATCTGTAACGTAACATATGTTTCTAAATACTGTACATAGTTTTTCTTTCGAAATTTTGACCTCCAACTACAAATTTACTTGATGTTTAACATATTCATGCGTATTCGTACATGTCTACTCTTTGAATTTTAGTTATATGTATGACATGATTGTTTTAGATAATAAATAAAGATCGTAAGACCGCGCAAAGAGTCACAAGGCGTGTACGTAGCGTAACACCGTGTCACTAATAGAGGAAGAACTGTATACCCCGATACGACTAAAGAATCCGGTTGATCTTATACTTTTAAGTATATATAATTGGCGCTTATAAATATAGTTTCCGGGGGCTAACGCGTCATATGACTCAAATCATTAATTATTATATACGTACCGATCCTGTGCATTTGATCAACACTACAAAAATGAGAAATTCAACGTTGATTCTTGTTATAACGATAATTCTTAATACTACGTTGTTTTCTACTTTTGTATTATCTCAAACTTCATCAAATAACTTTACATCTGCTGCTAATAATGTTACGGCTGTCTCCTGTTTTATCGTAAAAGGCTATCCATTGGTCTCACCAGTTAGTCTTACTCCCTCATGTCAGTCAAGACTTGAGCGGATTTATAATTCGTCCGATATAAATGCTTGCATTCCTTTTAATCAACTTGCTTCTAAATTATCTCAAAGTAGCCCTTCTTCCGATCTCACTGATTTATTCAATTCCGTTTGTTTGCCAAAATGTGATGATATTTTTATATCTTCAACTCTCTCAAGTTTCAAAACAGACTGTACAATTGATCTTGCTGCAAATAATTCTGCCGTTTTTGGCGTTGAACTTTTATTCACTTTCTATTCCCCATTAATATCTTCTTATTGTTTTAAAAATACTACTGGTGGTTCATGCCTCCTTAAATTTCGTCAAGATTATGCAATATTTGCTGGTGCCGGTGTATCTCCTGCTAATTCTAATCCATTAAACTTCACTGTACTACCTGACATTACAAATGTTCCTCCTTCTGTTGTATGCATTAATTGCGAAAAAGCTTTGGCAAACACTTTTCTAAAATTTTTGGATGCAAATCCTGGTGATTACGCAATTTTAGGCACAAATCAAAATGAAATGAATAATCGTAAAGCTCAATATACTGCAAAATGTGGTTCTTCATTCTTAGGTATGTTAATTCTCTAATTATTTATTCTTTAATTTTAAAAATATCATGCCTCATCTTTACTTTTTTTTTCTATAGATGGTAATATTCCTGACACTACATCAACGTCAACTTCAACTCCAAGTACTGGGACTAGTTTTTTTGATAATCCATTATATAAAGGATTAATTATTGGCGGCAGTGTTCTTGTTTTTGTGTTATTAGTGACATTTATTATTATCATGTGCTTTATTTGTAAAAAAAAGAGGCATCCATCATTTTTTTATGTTCCTACGCCAGGATCAAGTGAAGCTAGAGATGTAGAGAATAGAGAAATTGGAACTAGAGAAGTAGGAACTGAAGGAGTAGTAACTAAAGAATTAGGAACTAAAGAAGCAGAAACAATTTAACTTTAAAAACTAATTTAAACTTTATTTATAAATGTAATCATATGTATTATATTCGAGCTTATATAATCTTTTTTTAAAAAAATATTAATTTATAATAGTTTAAGTTTTTAAATAAGCTCTATATTGGCGAGAAAATTCGTAATATTGTAAAAGTCCAATTACTAAATTACTAAATTAAAATTAAATGAGATTTATACTTTATTTAAAGTTCATTGAAACGGGTTAACTAAAGACATTATTTTTCAGCAATAGACAATTACTTACATGGATCTGATATTTCTTGTAATTATGTTAATACAAGGAATACAAGGATTAGGCATTAAATTATATTTCAAATCTAGTGGTTAAATTATTTAATAATATTAATTTACTTTTTGAAATTTTAAAGCTATTGTATAATTTTAATTTAATATTGCATAATGGTGCCTTCAAATAAAAACAAATTTAAAATAAATACAAAATGGGTTAAACAATAACAATAATTACCAACTTACATTACTAAAATATTTTAATCTTAAAAATTTTTAAAATCCCAAAAATTTTAATTGCTTATAATTTTAATATTTAACTTATATAAAACACATCTATACATAAGTATATTCGGGGTGGCTAAATTAATGAGGAATAAATGCTTCGTTATACTAATGAATTATGTATGTTTGCCAATTAATTGCCACTATCTAACTAGATGATTTACAAAAGAGGCAACGGCTGAGTATATGTGAAGAAACAAATACGCAGTCGTATGATATGTGCATAGAACAAATACGTAGTCGTATGATACGTGCATAGAACAACTTAATTTATTTGCAGTTAGTTTCAACTCGATAACTAATAAATGATTTGTCTTCATATGCCAATTTCCAGTGAGATATCGGTCAAATTATATACAATAAAATGCACTAACGCATCTAATAGAAATTAATCGAATTAATAAAGATAATACGTATATCTAACGTATATCTAAAAAGAATCAACATATATATCAGCACTTTAAAATCGACTAATTGACTAAACCTGCTGAGCTGGTAAATTTATTGGCTTAATCATAGTCGAGATGTTACCAAAAATTGTCAAGTTGGTTTTTTAAATTATTAAAGTTTTATTCGCCAAATTTATTACCGTTCATATATGACTTCATAAACCATTTCAAGGCTTTAATATAATTTCTAAAATTTCCTATTCCATTTTTATAGCATTCACCAAGATTTTTTTGCTCTGAACTATCTCCATCTTCTGCAGATTTAATATACCATGCAAAAGCCTTCTCGTCATCTACAGAAGTTCCTATAGCATTTTATAACAGTTACCAAGATACTCTTGACCTAAGTTTTTCATTTTTAGTTATTCTTATGCCATATTGATAACAATAACCAAGGTCTGATTGACCTACCTTCAGCAGATTTTAAATAATATTCAAAAGCCTTCCTACTATCTATAAATTTCCGGGATTCCGGCATCCCAAATAATTACCATTTCCAGCTGATTTTAAAAACCATTCAAATGCCTCTTGTTCATTTATTGAAGTACCCTCATCAACTTCATACTGTAATAATAACCAACCTTATTCTGTGTTCTTTGGCAAATTTCATGTACCAATCAAAAGAACATTTTTTATCTTTAATCATATAACTGTAAATATCTCCAACGTAGCATTTTCCCAAACTAAAACCTTTAGCAACTGATTTCAAAAATAAAGAAATTGCTTTTGGTTTATTTACTTCCACAACTTTTCCATCAGCATAAAGTATTCCAAGAGAGATTAATCCAATAATTTGATTTTCTCTTTGTAAATCATTTATAAAATAATGATTATTTGAAAAAAAATGATTATGGTCAAAATAATGTTCTTTAGATGCTTGATTATATATATCAAATGCGCCTGAATAATTAATAGCTGTCCCAATTCCATATTTATAAAAAAATCCAATAATATTTGCAAAACAAAGCTTGCATTGATGATTATAAAATTCATTAAAATCTTCAATTGGAGTTTTTTCATTATTGTCTATATATTTATTTATATAATAAATTATAAAGCTAAAAATATTTCTTGAATCTTGTATTGGGATATAAATAATTGAATCAAATCATGAAGAAATTTATGGTTGGTTATAATTAATTTTTTCTTGTTTACTTGTAGTATTTAATTAATTTTTTCTTGTTCACTTGTAGTATTTAATTAATTTTTTCTTGTTCACTTGTAGTATTTAAGTAATTTTTGAAAATTTATACAATATGTCTTCTTGCATATTATCTATATTATTTTTTAAAGAGATTCGATTAATGATGAGATTAATTTCAATTCATCATTAGTTTTATTATACAATTCGGTATAATACTTTAATAACTTTGGTGTAATTAAACTTTCAACCTCATGTCTTTATATTCTATTTTCTTAATACTTTCTGTAATAATTTCTTTATTATTCGTTGAAATATAATTATGATCGATACTATTTAAATTTTCAAAAACTTGCTGAATATTTGGACTGATTTGAATTGTACTGCCAACATTCTAAATAATAATTATAAAATTAATTAATTATTATTTAAAAGATGAATTGTCAAAGCTAATGATGGAAATGATTAAAGCAGGAAAATCAAAAATCAATATTTAAAAATATGTACCTTACTAAAATACATTCATACTCTTGTTATAAACTTCAACCCTAAATATTAACCTCTAATCTTACTATAAAAATGTACTAAATTCCAATTTCTAGCTTTAGTTATTTCCAGCCTTAGTTGCGACATCAACTATATGAGCTTAATTTAATCTGAGTATATTTTCATGTATTTTTTTAGGTATTCCAAGGACTACGGCTTCACGTTTACCAGAAATAATTTCATTCAATAGGTTAAAATTATAAGTAACTCGAATTGAAATGGAACAATATCACTAGAAATTTCTCAACGCTATATATATTGAATTTTGTTAAGTTTGTAGGTTTAAAAATACTAAGGATCTGTATATGGCAAAATATACTTTCTGTCTTAATTCCAGAAATTATTACTAAAATAGATCTTTGGACTATCCAATGGATCAAATATCATATTTCCCTCTTCTATATATTTATGCACACCCAAATCTAGGTGAGTCTTGGTCACTCTTGTAGATTTAGATTACAGATTATATATCTGAGTTTTTATCCTTCTTATGTAATTTAAAAGCAAGCTTTTTTCTGTAAAAATTTTATTTGTATTTCAATAAAGTTAAAGACATAGTCACATTATTAATATTTTTAAAAAAATCTACTCATCTCTATAATAGAAAATTTATTATGACTCTATACTTAGTTTTATTTATAAAAAATATCAAAACCAGCTTCTTAAAATTTTATTTCAATCTTCCATCAATATTATAACTAACACAACATTTTTTTTAATAATAATTTTTCATTAACTTTTATAAATAATACTAACTAGTATTATTTTTTTTTTAGTATTAAGATGATCTTTTTGATTTTTTGATTTTTATTAACTACTTTTTTGATAATATAATTTAGTGAACCATTACAGAAAAGCATGCAATTGACTACATATATAATTTTTCTATATTACTTATTTAAGAAATCTATTTAAAAGTTTCTTATCAATTGTTAATCTAACACTTCTGCTTAGATGTTTTATTTTAAACCTTCTGAACCTGTAATCTGTATTAATTTTACTAGATTATTCCAGATACTCAGATTATTGTCTTAACTTTAAAACTATTTTATTCTTAAGATAAACTTCCTAAACCTTTTATACTTTTTTTTATTTTTTTTTAGATATTAATGGTAAGGCCATGCCTTTAACTTTATTGAAATTCAATTGAAGTTTTTACAAAGAAAAGCTTGCTTTTAAA